TAACAGCTGAAGGGTTTTCTATACTAAAAACTCCATCTGAGTACGTCGAATTTTTACATTCCCCTTAACGTATTTTCTTCTATATACTATTTACTCTGTTTACTCAAATTATTCTGGTTCTCTTTTTCGTTTAAGTATCGTACGCTCTGGTGACGCCATTTACGTCCGAGTTGGCGACTATGATCTGACGCGTAAATACGGTAGCCCTGGTGCGCAGACCTTACGAGTGGCCACCACATACATACATCACAATCACAACAGTCAGACACTGGATAACGATATAGCGCTTCTGAAATTACACGGACAAGCAGAGCTACGAGATGGTGTGTGCTTGGTGAGTATAAGACTATACCGTTAAGCAGACATTTAATGCTAATATTTGAACTTCTGTCGCTTTCGATAGGTCTGCTTGCCAGCGCGTGGAGTCAATCATGCTGCCGGAAAACGTTGCACGGTCACCGGTTACGGTTATATGGGTGAAGGTATGTAAAATTGTCTCTCGATTGCGTACAAACATTTTTTCTCAATCTCTCCACACACAGCCGGTCCGATTCCGCTGCGCGTGCGTGAAGCTGAGATACCAATTGTGAGCGATGCAGAGTGTATACGCAAGGTCAATGCGGTCACCGAGAAAATATTTATTCTGCCCGCCTCAAGCTTCTGCGCCGGCGGTGAAGAGGGTAACGATGCCTGCCAAGGAGACGGTGGCGGTCCATTGGTATGCCAAGATGATGGCTTCTTTGAACTGGCTGGTCTGGTGTCGTGGGGCTTCGGCTGTGGACGCGTAGATGTGCCGGGTGTTTATGTAAAGGTCTCCTCCTTCATCGGCTGGATCAATCAAATAATCAGCGTTAATAATTTATAGTCATATAAGTTTGAAATGGAACAAAAGGACGGCGCATAACATGAAATTTGAAACATAAAGTTTAGACATAAAATAGCAAATAATTGAGTATTTATTAATATAATGAATGTATGAGTAGCTCGAACCCACGCGCTTGTAGATTGCTCTCCGCGGATCTGCTCGAGTGCTCTACGAATGTGTGGTTCATTTAAGTTTAAAATTGCACACATATTTTTGACTGTTGATCCATAAAAATTTATATTAAATAGTAAACTATTTAATTCTTATGTATTTCTACATAGACATACTTACATACTATATACATATATTTAGATTTAATCTTTAGTGTAAGTGTCATGAACTGTTTACTATTAATATGATTTAATGTTACGAATATTCACACGCCAACACACATACAAGTACTTACATACGTACAGTTACTTATGTGTTTGGTTGTGTAGTATTTATGAACAAATTTCAAAAATTTAACTGCAAAGCAACGATATTAGTTTTACAAACATTTCCATTTATACATAACAATGTATGTTTAATACAATTTGTACATAATTTAAGCTCATTTTTTCGTATGATTGCATATAAATTTGCTTAATAAAGTACACATTTAAATTTAAAAAAACTATTATATCACATTTTTGAAAACTTTCAAGTAGATACAACCCCTTAGACCATCCACAGAACTACATACATCAAAAAATCAAATACTTTTATAATAAATGTAGATTCAAAAAGAGGAGCGATTTTACCAAAAAAAAATAAAATTTACTTTTCTAAAAAAATGCTTCTCCGCCTTATTTGGCTTTTGATAACTTTTCTCTAATTCATTCTAGTTTTATTATTGAAACTATCTTTATGTTTTTTTTTATTCTAATCTTTCCTTCTCGACAGAAAAAATGTTCTGGCCTTCCTTTGGCCCTTTATTCGTGGAGCTCCAGTTAAATTGATGAAATATTATTAAAGAATACTAACATTCAGCATTATTGAATTAAGGGGCATACCTATTGTGACAGCTTAAAAACCGGCGATTTTTAGTAATTTAAAAAAATGCTGTGTCAATTGGATCATGGTTAATGTTTAAAAAAATATTAAGTATTTTTGAGTTACACGCGATCTCTAATGGTGCTAAAAAAGGCTCTAGGCTGCTGCAGTGATTCCGGCCTACTCCGTGAATGAAACCTTAAAAAAATGATATTGTCCCTACATATTGTCCCGACTACGGTCGAAAAAATAAAATAAAATTTACTACATGGCAGCGTTTAAAGAAAATTTAATATTAACCAACATTTTACTCGTTTTGGACTGCAAAAACTCGATTTTTGATCAGATCAAAAGACCGATAGGACATTGTATGTAGATTTATATGTATAGAGAACAGGCAGAAAAAGTTCATGGTAATCGGATGATGTCTTCGAGTTATCGCTGCAGCTAATTCGAAAAATACTCTTTCGAGAAGAACGCGTTTGAAGATAAACTAATTAAATTGATTGAATTAAGCGGCTACACTTCAGATGGCTGTAACTCATAAACTATTTGAGATATCGATTTGGAATTTCATTATGTTATTTTTAAAAGTATAAGCTATCGAAATATTAAAAAAATCGATTTTTTTTAAATTTCATATTAGATATGCCTCTTAAAATTTTAATATGGTATTTTTAATGGTATAAGCTAACGATATATGAAAAAGTATACTCGACTTGCCCTTTAAAATTTTAATATGGTATTGTTAAAGAACTATCGAAATATGCAAAAACAAAAAAAAATTTAGTTTTTTCAAAACTTAACACTAGGCAAGTACTGTTATTATTAGCAGTCGCCTGCTGTGAAAATATTATTTTTATTTAACTTTTTTTCAAAGACAATCAATGTCTTCTAAACCCAAACTACCAAACTGAAATTGAATTTTTAATGCAAAAACAAATTTTTTAAATATCTAATGTAAATTTTCCACTACTTTACAATGCATGTGCCTTTTTGATTTGAAAATTCTGCGTAAGTTCACTATCAACACATGTTGAATATGCCAACATAAGTTAATCCAATTAAATTGGTATTTTTCATGAAACTTAACGAGAACATAAACCGAAAAGGATTGAAATGAAAACACCCTTTCACTTAGAAAAAATTAGCTCAATTAATTCTATGTTGAAACAATAATAAAATCAACAGTATCCTTTGAGAATTTTTTTTCACTCATAAAATTTGTTTTGTATTTGCGCGCCAAAACTTCAATGTGTATTCTTTTTTTTTTTTTGACAAACCATATTTTACATAACCCTTTCAGTCAAATAACGTATTTCTGTGAATAGTGAAATTTAACGGAAAATGCTACAAAAAAATTGAACATGAAACCATAGCACCCATAGCAAACAGAAAAAAACAGTTAATGAAATAGCAAACATATAATGATTAAAATGGCATGAGGAAGTGAAGCTGAGCGCATATTTGCACATATACATACAATTTATTAAAATAACTATGTATGTGCATGCGTTTGCATATAACACACACATGCAAAAGCAGTGTGGAACAATGTATGTAACATCATGCGTTGATAGAGTATATAAAAGCTGAGCATCTTCAAGTCAAACACGCACAAATTATTGTAGGCATAAATTGAAACTGGTATGTATGTATGTGTGCGCATCCTCGCATATCCTTGAGCGCAACCAAGCATCCTCAAGTTGCCACCAAACTAAGCAGTCACGCATACACATAAACAACTGACAGATCTACAAATAGTAAAATCGTGAAAACTAGGCGGAGTTCCTTTTTGAATAGTTTACATTTCCTATTACAAATACATAGAGACCAACGCATATTGCTGTTCTCACGCACGCACGCACTTTTTACCACTCATACGCGCTCTCTAAATCAAACCGACTTCTATAATTCACTCTAGTCAATACGACGCATGCGTAACTTATTTTCTGATCAGAAAGTCACAGCTTCCAACAAGCGAGTAGCTATACGAACCACTCTGACACGCCGGCCACAGTGAGTGAGCGCTGGCATTCGGTGAATTGCCTGCTCACCCGTTGGCTCACCCCTTACGCGTTACCTTGCCAGCCTTTGGCCAGCCAGTCGACCGAGTGTCAACCCAGCCCTGTATCTTGGTGTGCTTGACTAAACGAATGCACGCACACAGCAACTAAAAACACGAGCGCTTTATGTGTGTGCGTAAAGTGGTTTGTGTTGGTATGCGCGTGATTTCTCAGTTTTAAATCAGCGCTCTCCTCATCACTACTCTTTTTACACTAACTGCGTTTTGTGACAGCGCGTTCTCGCACAATTTAACCCTTCCGTATGGCAATCCTTACCGTCGCACAGCAGCAATCAGAGTCGAGTTTGCGCGTCTTGCATGTGTGTGAGTATTTTAAATGTTTTTGTTGATATCTGCCCTTTTGTATATGGCTGCAAGCAGTTCTAAGACTTTTCCCTCCAAGAAAGCAAACGCAACGTCAGCGACGATCATATACAAACAGTCTTGTAGTCGTCGGCAGCTCCGACACAGCTACTGCGACTTAGAGTTCGACATACAAAGCGTGTACACTCGTGCGAGCAGCAAACCAGCAAGCAAGCGACCGACCGTCCAACCGGCCGGCTTCCACGCAGCAGAATATAACACAACAGTTGTCCAACGACGACGCGAGTGACTAGAACTTTATCTGCCATCAATTAGAACGGTCGAGTGGCGCACTACCGCGTTGACGGTCCTCAAAGCAAAAGCAAAAAAAATATAATTTATTTTTTAGTCTAACAAAAACAAAGAAATTACTAATTGAAGTGGATTAAGCGAAAAAGACGTTTTAACGCAAAACTTTTAGTGTATCCTCAGAAAGCACGACATTTTGTGTAGTTTTGTTGTTGTTTTTTGTTTGTTTCATTAATAGTGTGACTAACGCGTCTCCACTCTTTCTGTGTCTTGCGTCCAATTAGTGCATCTTGTCGTTGTTGTAATCGTAGTTTGCATGTTTCACAAACACGCTCCGTGCAACATTTTGTATTTTGTGTGTATGTGTGTTCAATTTATTTCAATAATTTTATATCGAAATCCCAAATCCATTCCCGCACTTTCCCAAACATCCGCATCCCTTGCATCGGCAACACTACGGTGTGCACAAAGCTCCCGCCCGCAATGGATCCGAGCAGTCAAGTTAGTGTTAATACCGCGACAACAACAACTCCGCCCAACGCCTCAACGTCCACAACAGTTGTCGTGCCCGCCAGTACGTTAGCCACGAGCGCGGCCACAACCGCGTGCGCGTTAACAACAGCGACTACAACCATCTCCAGCACCAGCAATGCCAGCGCGCCCGCCACTGTTGTAACTTCCGGCTTAGCCGTCGGCAATCAGAGCGTCACGGTTTTACCGCCAATCGGCTCGGCGGCCGCTGTGGGTGGCACCCATAGCCTGACGACGGCTTGCAGCCAGCCCACACAGCCGCAGCAGCCAGTGCCTATTATCGATCTCGTGCGTGGTGACGATGCTAATAATTCGTCGATACCCAGCGTTATTTCGGAAGGACAACGTTCACTCTCTGCCGCGCCATCCGCTTCATCGAGTCCGATACTGAGTCCGCCTGGCAAAATATTCGGTCGCAATGCAAATGGAACAAGTAAGTTTTAGTTTATGACAATTCAAATACTTATATTAAACTAATTATTGATACGATAAGTGTTATTTCAAAAAATTTTATGATAAATACAACCTTGCGTGTACAGTGCTAAGTGAAGCTTTTTGATTACAAGTCGGCTTTGACTAAAACTAAGTGTCTTTGTAACATTTACCACGAAGTTTGTAACACCTTGAAGGAAACTTCGGAGGCCCTATAAAGCATCAGAGTGATGAGCTGTATATACGAGAACTAGTCCCACAGTTTTTGAGATATCGACCTGACACGTTCTTTTCTTCTAAAGAAGCAACTGATATCGGACCAAAACAACGGTATAATCTTCGAAGAACTCATTCAGATCGGACCACTATAGCATATATAGTGGCTACCATATAAACTGATCTATCAAAATCAAGTCCTTGTGTGGCGACTTTTTTATTTGTGATGGGTATTATAGTTTCGGTGCAGCCGAAGTTAACGTTTTTTCTTGTTTTTTAATAATATAGATGCAAGAAGTCCTATGTCTGAAAATACTTTTCCAAAGTTTTCTTAGTGTTTCTAACTCAGTTTTTATAACCGCACAACATATAGGTCAAGTCATATAGACTATGCATTTTTGCACAGAGGATAGATAATTCAATGAACAATTCTTTGTTATCCTTGTGAATGTCTGAAAGAATACTTATAAGTATTCCTTAAATTTTTTAACTGTATGCACCGTTATATTACGAACTCAACCTTAAACGTCTGCTAGTATTATTACTTGTAGAAACACTTCTCAATCGTAGAAATATACTGTAGTGTTTCTGTGTTTTGAAACAAAAATCCGGCAACACGGATAAATACAGCTTCCTTCTTCTTTCCCGTGATAAATATTAATTAATATGTTTGTACAAACTCCTTAACTTTTAACTAATGAAGTTGTCAAAGAATTTTTTGAGAAAATTTTCTATGGCTGAAAAGGTGAAACAAAGATTTTACCTAAGTTGGAATATAAAATCATCAGAAAAGTCGGAAAAAACTTGATTTCATATGGTCTCATATAGTCAATATTGTCCATATTGGCTTCGCTTTTTCATTTCATAACAAATTTGAAATATCATGGGTTTCCCACTTGAATACTAAATAATGTCGGTTTTGGGGTCTGTAAAATAACTTATGGATCTTAAATATTTTGTGTTATTTCACACAGAAACACATTATGGCGAAGAGTACAGTTGTAGTTATATTGCATAGCTAGATATATCGTAATTGGAGTTTGAGGGTTTTTATTAGAGGTTTAACTGAGCTCCTCTTACTGTTTGTTGTGCGCATCTCTATAGCCAACTCGAAACAGCTGATTAATGTAAGAACACCTTTATCAAGTCTACCTTGAGAGAGAAAGCCGCTACTAGAAAAAACTGATTTGAGATTGGCACGAGATTCAAATCTAGTAGCTCAGAGTGATGATATTTACATGTAACTTCTATATTACTGCTACAAAAGCTTACTATAGAGATACATTGGTTGTAGAAGAGGAAGCTGCTAATGTTGCTTTAGTGCTAAGTAATTAGATATTGTCAGAGCATACGAACGGGGGTTACACGATATAGAGAGAGATGTTAGAGGAATGTGTTTAATAGCGATTATTAGAGTGGTTAGTATCTTGCGTATCTCTATATATAAAATTTGTGACTATCAGTGAATTGAAGTGAAGTTTGAATTTCAAGCGGTGATATATTCAAAATATGCGGAAATCAGCTCGAATAAACTGCACATATGTCCAAAGCTGGCTTCACAATATTATTGTTTAATGTCTTATCTTAAATGGTGTCATTACATTAAATCTCCAAATCAAAAAACTTTAACCCCTCACCAGCAACAGTTATGTGCACAATAGTTCTGACTTAATACCCTGGGTATAAAAATGTGTCTGCATCATTGCACAACAAAAATGCACTCACCCAGTTAGACGCCAATTTTTTCACTCACCGCCAGAGTACAAGTTTTTGTGAGTCTATGTCAATCAATGAAAAAATGAAAAAAAACGCGCACTCATATACACACGTTGACAACATCTAAAACCATGGCATTACTAAAATCATGTGAAAGCATTGAGCAGGCAGGCAGCTAAGCAAGAAAAAGCTTTAACAAAAAGGAAAGTTATTTAGGGCGATAAAAACATTCGGCGGTTTTTTCCACCCTCAAAGCATTTAAAAGCGCGCCTGTATATACATATGTCACATAGAGAAATGTGTGTGTGTGTGTGTGTGGAAACATATATACACACACATACACATACATAAATAGTGAATATGAAATCGGAAAAAGTGCACATTTTTATATGAAAGCGTAGAAAAAGCGTCAAAAATTGCAAGGATATGCCGTTAGATATGTCTTGAAATGTATTGTTTGCAGCGGAAAGGCCGCCGAGAAGCACAATATTTAGTTGTGCAATTTCGTCTTTTTACAAATACTTTCGTAGCCAAAAAAGCTAGCAGCAAGACGCATCAAAAGCAATATTATTGGCAGGCAAATAAAAGTGGTCTCGCGTCACTGGGTTTTTACGCTTAATAAGAACGCGTTTGAATGTATTTTTAACGGGTCTCAAAGTTGAAAAAACTTCTAAAAGAACTCGCAATTGTCTCGTAAGATAGCAGCAATCAAAAAAAGAAGTTATAGCTCAAATAAATGAAAGCCAAGCTAGAAAAAACACCCTTAGCTCAAATACTTAAGGTAAATATCCAACTTTTGTCTACCTGAAAACGCCATATTTGAAAGAAGAAACCACAATGCCGTTTTGCAGCATTCAATAGCACCCTTGAAGAGATCTTTCAACTACCGTTAGACACATACAGGCGCAAGTCAGCAAACAAAAGGTGTGCGATCTTCAATAAGTAGAAGGAAAAACTAGTTTCTAATATTTGATAGGCTGATAGCACGAAGGATATGCGAAAAGAGAACACACACAAAACGTACTGTAAATGCAGCGACAGTTAAGCCAACCCCAGCCAAGGAACGCACCCCTAAAAATAAGGAGTGGTGTTTTTTTTTTCAACAACAAGCAGAGCGTCACTCCACACGTGCATACACACACACACGTATGTAGTAACGCACACCAACACACACGCTCGTTGAGCAACGCGCATGCGCGTTCCACTCACCTTGAGCGCGCGTTTATCTTCCCATTGGCAAGCGGTACACTGCTACATTAATAGCTGTTCCCGGCAATTTGTTGGTAGCCGTAGCTACAGTATTACATATGTATATATATACATACATGCATATATGTATGTGGATACATGCGCATACACATAACTACACGATTCCTATTAAGGCAAAGAAATTCGTAGTTGGCCTCATCAGGAGCAAAACATTTTGTTGACTAACGGCCACGATTGTCATCAATCTTAAGGTAATGCCCGAGCGCCGCCACACCACTCCTCCTACTCCGGTTGCCGCTCATTACACGGGTGTTGAGGCTGCGCCCAGGCACTTTTGCATTCCTTGCCAGTGCAAAGCTAGCTGCTAGCTGGCTTTTCGAGGCTGCAGTCATTGCGTTTTTATTTATTTAGTTCTTTGCTCTTGTTGTTTTTGTTGTACCTCTTTCACCCTTCGCTTGTGATTGGTAAGCGAGTATCTGACTGCTTGGTTGGCTGACTGGCTGGTAGGCTGTCTCTGGCACAACTTTTACTCCGGCCTGTTGCGCATGCGCAGCGTACGTAGCATCCACGCGCATCAGCAAGTCATCGACGAACTCATCGACGCATCGGCGTTATTGCCACCGTTGGAATTTTGATCGACAAGAATTTGGTCGTTTAAAAACTCCTTAATTTATCGTACGGGCATATGAGAAATAGTTTCGCTGTATATCGTTTAGGTTTTTTGCGCATATATATTTGTTGTTTTTGCTTTTTTATTGCGTTATTTTACTTATATTGCATTCGTTTGCGAGCACTTCCCCAAATAAATGCGTCGAGTTGGCTTTTTTTCTGCGTTCAAGCTGGCGGCTAACTGCTGATTGCTGACTATTGACTGCTAACTGTTGGCCGTCACTGCCGGTTGGCTGGTTAGCAATGAAGCGCCTATAGCTCATCAATACTTCAACGGTGGCGCGGCGCAGCGTTACGCTGTTCAACACCATTGCTGACAACAACAGCAACATTATCAACAGCGACAACAATCTGCGCTCTGCGACAATGTCTGTCCGTTCGTTTGCCTCAGACGCTGGTTCGTTGGTATGTGACAGCGTCGACTGTTGTCATTATTGCCTTCAAGTGGCGAGCAAGTAAAAAGCTCCAGCAGCTACTTACTGTTTTTTCGCGCTTGCGGCACTCGAGTTTAAGCAGTAAAAACAGCATATTTAGCAAATGACAACAACAAGCCGCAAGCACATGTGCGCGCACATACTTACATATTCATGTAGGTGTGCGTGTGTTTGTGTGTGTATGTGTCAGTGTGTGGCAGTTTGTTGGGTGCAAAAAGTAACAATGTCTTCTAAGTGATGCCACGCAAGCGCAGCATCATGTTGCAACATACAGATGCCTATATGTATGTTTGTGTGTATTGCTGTTTGTATGTATGTAGGAAGTGTGGAGGAAAAAAATCGTAAATTAAATGAGAAAGAAATGTGGTACATTATTTGTGTATTAAAATCACGTCTCATTTATTTATTGCTGCCAATGCAATTCCAAAGAGACGAATAAATAACAACGCACACACGTACACACACACGCACAATGCCGCACAGACTCTAGCATACAACAGCAGCAAATGACAGGTACAAAATTACACAAGCATTACCGTGCGACTTTAACCCCTAGGCTAGCCCAGATGGCTGGTGCTAGCTTTGCTCAACTCTTAACTCTAGTATTTTACAATTATTATCGGAATCGCATATTAATACAAACTGGCGCAAAAAAGTTGGTCGGACTACTAGGAAGGATTCACATAATTTTCGAATAGATTGGCAAAGATACCGTTACGCAAATTTTGATTCGCCACGAATGAAAGGTTTGTCATAA